TCGAGATGTGAGTTATGGTTGGATAAGCACTACAGTATGTGAAAGGGACACGTTGAGACCCTGGGTGGATTTCTTTTCTTCTTCTTTTTTCTGTTTAGAGAACGGAATACTGAGATTCTTCCAGTCTAATTGAATCTACTTTCATCTACTCTGCTCTTCTTACGGCCTGTTCTCTGTGTCATGCTCACCAAATGTTTCTGGTTCTGATTAAGACACTGTGTTTGCATGCATTCCTCCACACAGGCCCAGGAGTGGCCAGTGTTTGACATGAACACTTCCTGCAGCCTCTGTTCGCGCCAGGCCATGATTTCATTTTTCTGGTAGGGCCGTCACTCAGAGGAGACCCTCGTTGCTGTGCTCTCATCTCTGTGGTTTCTCCGTCTGTGCAGATGTTTAACATTTGAACCAGTTTTTTTTTTTTTTTCACAATGAATTTTTACTGCGTGCACCTGAGACGAACCGTGTCGCCCAGTGACAGTTAATAAAGTGTTTGAAGTGTGTGCTGAGATGCAGAGTTGTGTTGCCATGAAGGAGAGAGAGAGAGCGAGAGAGAGAGAAAAAAAAGTTCTGGAATCTTCTCGTCTGTGTCCGTGGACTGGTCGTAGCCTTCGCCGAAATAAATGTACTTCAGCATCGATGCACACATCACATGTATATTTGTCTTTGGTCCCCCCCCAGACACTACCTGGATAATACACACCATGTACTACAAACACTACACACGTGATTTTTCCTCTCAGTGCTGGATTGTCTGTGAGTGTCAACGTAATCATTCACTTTTCAATTCAACTCAACTCAATCAACGTAACAACTCTTTTTTTTTTTTCCAGTGTGGACATTTGTAATGTGTTTCAACTTTTTTACATTTTCTTAAAGTGTTCTTGCAGGTGTTTGTTGTGTATCATCACGTGTTTCTTCTTGTAGCATTTGACACATGAAATGGATCTTAGTCGTGTGTTTGCTAACAGCGTAACATTAAATAAAACTGAAGCATGGCTGTGGTCCTGTCTGTTAGTCATTAGGGCTGAGAAAGATGAAGTAGCCTTGATGTGAAGATGTCGTGTTGTCTTCTCTGTCCTAACGGGTCCCCGCGGACACAGAGCAGACCGTGAAGGCGTCATTACTTCCTGTCAGGATGGTCTTTTTAAAATAGTTGTTTTTTTCCCTGTATCTGTTCAAACTGACTATGACTGATGTGTCAGCTTAGGCTTTACTGCCATCTGGTGGAGACTGTCGCGCCTCACACCTTCTACAGTACGCGCCTCAGCTGAACATCTGTTGGATCCATTGACATTTGCTGCGTAATGTAATTGGACACGGATTCAGTCGACGTTTGAATGAGGTTACCATTAAACAGTGCGAGTCACGGGAGGGAGGGTCGTGACAGGAGCGCGTGATGGTGAACAGAGACTTTGAAGTCCTGGATTTATTAGTACGGTCACAAAGTTCTGAGACGAATTGTCAAAACATAAACAAACTAAATATGACATTAATGCGGCCATTTTTGGTCCTGCATTCTTCTTCAGTGGTGTTTGTGGAATTCTGGAGGATGACCTTTGACACCAGGTCACAACCTGATTCTGTCTGGTGTCATGGACTGATTTTTGTTTACATCAGCTGGAGCTAAATTCTTTTATTTTTTTATTGTTTCCCACGAACGCACGATCAGATCAAAGGTGACAAAGATATATGACGATAAAACGGCTCAGAGCTGAGAGACCTGTCCAAAGGTCCTCACACGTCCTAACGCTGAGGCCAAGTCTCACAAGACGGGTGTCGGCAGGCGTAACATTTAGGACCTGATTGTAGTATTTTCTCTGTTCAGACGAGTGGTTCACGACCTGTTTAGATCCACAGCACACAACCAAACAAAAAATGTGTAATAAAAAGTCAAATAATATTTTACTAGTTTCAAGTCATTAGTTGTATAAAGTGGGCCTGTTTAGTTGAACACGACCCTAATATGTTCAGAAATTGAAGAAAAATACACAAACATTGTCATTAGTTTTTTTATTTTTATTTATTTACTTATTTTATAGCCATTTGCTGCCACCTGGTGGAAGAGTAGTGAATTGTTCTGCCCGGCCCTGTTAAATATAGACAAACGAGACAAATTATTTGCAGAAAATAAATCATTGGTTGTTTTTTTTACACCAATGTATTCAACGTTCGGACACGTTCCCACGGTTCAATCTCAGAGGGCGCTGTTTGGATCTCGCTGTTGACTTATTAAAACCAGACACCACCGAGTGACTAAGTTCCCACGGTTCAATCTTAGAGGGCGCTGTTTGGATCTTGCTGTTGACTTTAAATTAAAACCAGACACCACCGAGTGACTACGTCCGTCTTAGAACTTTTTGACTTAGCCTTCTGTGAGGCATTACTGTGTTCAGGTGAAAACTGGTAGGACACATATCTCTGTCTAAATCTTTTTTTATAAAAGTGCTGCTGGGAGAAAATAATTATTCCTCAACAAAACAAGCAGAAAAGACAAACATCATTTGAGTCTCTCTCTCTCTCTCTCTCTCTCGCTCTCTGTGTGTGTGTTTGTTATAGCACATTTAAACCCAACAGCCTTTTTCAAATCCCATTTCCTGAGTTGCTCTCAGCAGTGTTGTGTTCGTTCTCTCATGAACAACTTTCAGGACTGATTCCGAGCTTTCGCTCATTTCTATATTTACTCCCCGGCCGACGTGGCCCCGTGGCGGCCCTAAAAGGAATCTGCGTCCCGTGGATTTGCAACGATCAAAAATGCATGTGTTGATGTGGACATTTGAACTGAGTTTAGATTCCATTTGATTCTTGGGTTCCTGCGACTGGGCTCCGCATCAATATTACATGGCCGTGCCAGCAGAGAAGGGGGTTTTCCTGTTGGGTAATGGCAACCACAGAGAGCACAAACAAACTGGCCTCAAAACAACACGAGTCCAAACGCTTTCCTGATGTGTGGATGTAGGAGAGTTCAGCACGAGGGGAGAGTTATTCAGATCCTAACTGTTTAAATGTGTCGGGATGATACAAAGGAAGAGTCAGTGCGGGGGGGAGGGGGGGGGGTTAAAGTTTGACAATGAAGAAACTGAACACCCGCAACACCCGCACCCTCGCGAGCACACACACACACACACACACACACTGCCAGCAGCAGTTCATGTAAAAAAAAAACTCCAAAATAATGTT